ATGGGCTGGCCAGGATAAACAGGAAGGGAACTGTAGACAGAAGAGGCCCGTGCCAAGGTTGGCAAGTATGAAACAAGATGATGTGTTCATGGAATCACATAGGGCAGAGCATGTGCAGGAGGCAGAAGAGCAACAACTGCTGAGGCATGACAGATTGGAGCCAGAATACTATAGGCCTGGAAGGTCATGCAGAGGAGGCTGGGCTTAGAAGAGGCAACATTCCAGCTGTTGAGCATCTTTGCCATCATTATTTTGAACTCTATGATAAATTTCTTTTTTTTAATCTTTTTATTGATTTCAGAGAGGAAGGGAGAGGGAGAGAGAGATAGAAACATCAGTGATGAGACAGAATCATTGATTGGCTGCCTCCAGCACTCCCCCCCCCCACTGGGGATCGAGCCCACAACCCAGGCATGTGCCTCGACCTGGAATTGAACTGTGACCTCCTGGCTCATAGGTTGATGCTCAAACACTGAGCCACACCCTCCGGGTTCTGATAAATTTCTTATCTCCATTTCATTTAGCTCTTCTTTTGGAGAATTCTCTTGTTCTTTCTTTGGGGCTTGTTTTTTATCTCCCCACTTTGGATGCCTATTTGGGTTTTGAGTCTGTGTGTTAGGTAAATCTGCTACGAATCCAAGTCTCTAGTGCAGGACAATGTCAGATGCTGTTTGTGACTGGCTCTGAATGCCCTGTGTGAAGCTAGAAGCAATCCACAGCTTGTGGCTCCCTCTTCTGGGGCTGGGTGCCTTTGGAAATGACCAAAATATATACCAGGGTCTGCTTTTCCTAGCCCAGGGCCCCAGATTAGATCAGGCAAAGACTCAAAGCCTCCAGAGACCTGCCTCTGCCTGCCTCTGCCTGCGGTCCCATTGACACTCAGTTTTGATTAGCCTCAAGCTATGGACCACAGGGTGGGGTGAGAGGTTTTCCAAAAGGGTGGGGCAACTACCTTTCCCACCCAGGGAAAAACTGCCTGGATAGCAAAGGTTCACTGGAGAAAGATGTCCTCTGCAGTGTGAGGGAATGACTCAGCACAGGAAACTGGGGTGGCAGCCCTCAAGCTCCAACGCCAGAGGCCCCAAGCTTCCTGGAAATGCAAATCAATGTTTTTCAATAAATTTGGGAATCTTTCAGCCATTATTTTTTCTGCTTTTTCTCCTTTCCTTCTGGTAGTCCTGTTACATATATGTTGGTGCACTTAATGGTGTCCCACATTTCTGTGAGGCTTTATTTTCATCTTTTTCCTCTCTGTTCTTTTGCTTGCATAATCTATACTGATGTATTTCAAGTTCGCTAATTCTTCTGCCAGTTCAGATCTACTGTTGAACCCCTTTAGTGAAATTTTTATTGTAGTTATTTTACTTTTCAGTGTCAGTTACCATTTGGTTTCTTTAAAATACTTTCTATCTCTTTATTGATATTCCTTTAAAAATAAATATATTTTTATTATTGATTTCAGAGAGGAAGGGAGAGGGAGAGGGAGAGAGAGATAAAACATCAACGAATGAGAGATAATCATTGATTGGCTACCTCCTGCAGGCTTCACACTGAGGATTGAGCCCACAACCCAGGCATGTTCCCTGACTTAGAATTGAACCATGACCTCCTGATTCATAGGTCAATGCTCAACCACTGAGTCACACCAGCTGGGATGATATTCTTACCTTCCTTTATTTCTTTAATCATTTTTTTTAGTTCTCTGAATATATTTATATGATTAATTTGAAGTCTTTGCCTATTAAATCTGACATGTGTTTGCTCTCACAAGCATTTTCTGTCACTTGCCTTTTGGCTAGTGTATAGGTCAGTGATGGCGAACCTATGACACGCGTGTCGGAGGTGACACGCGAACTCATTTTTTTGGTTGATTTTTCTTTGCTAAATGGCATTTAAATATATAAAATAAATATCAAAATATAAGTCTTTGTTTTACTGTGGTTGCAAATATCAAAAAATTTCTATATGTGACACGGCACCAGAGTTAAGTTAGGGTTTTTCAAAATGCTGACATGCCAAGCTCAAAAGATTCGCCACCACTGGTATAGGTCATACTTTCCTATTTTCATATCATATTTTTTGTTGGAAACTGGACATTTTAGATAATATAATGTAGTAACTCTGGGTACTGGCACCACCACCCTGGGCTCTTTATTATTATTTCCTTCTTTACTTTAGTGACTATCTGGATTATTTTAATGAAGTCTATTTACTCCTCCCTTTTGCCCTGCAGTGTGAAGTCTTGTTGTTGCTTCTTAAGGGTACAGCCTTTGGTATGCCCACAGTTATCCTGGAATGATAGTATTTTTTGGCAGGGCTCTTTTTGTCTCTTCCCCTGACCACACCCAGCTATTAAGTTTTCACTAATTGCTGGCTGATTGCTCTGTTGTTTTTAATAATGCCCAGGGGTATAAATTGCTCCACAAACTGATCCATTCAAATTAGGGCTCCTTTGAAGGGATAGTTCCCACGATCAGTGTTTGAGATTGCTTCCGAACTCAGAATGGTTCCTTCCAGCTCTCTATTTCCCTGATTCTGTCCAGCATTGCTAGCCAACCTAGGCATGAACAACTTTTCCACACTCTGTTACAAATGAAGTAATTACCACTGGGGCAAGATTTGGAGCCCTCTATTCTATGACCTGCTTCTCCCACTAGGTAAAATCTCTGAGCCACAGCTCTAGTACAGGGGGTGGGGACAATTATGTATTTCCCTCTGAGTGGCATCCCCAAGCCTCCTAAGTTTGCCTCTACTAATGTAGAACCCTCATTCCACCATACCCAAGGCATAGCCTCCATCCCAGGAGTGGGGGCCACCTGGAAGAAGTGAGCCCTCACCTCTCTGCCACAGTTTTCTGGAACGTAGCCTCAGCAATAGGTAGCTGGGGACAGGATAAGAAATGCTGATGTCCTGTCCCTCTCAGGAAGAAAGCCTTGCAGCTGGGAGCTGGGGCAAAGGGAGCTCTGTGTTCTTAGATGTACCAGTCTGGTGTGACTGACATCTGTGCTGGGATGGAGGATAAAGGGAATGGGTCTAGTCCAGGGGTGGGCAAACTTTTTGACTCGAGGACCAGAATGGGTTCTTAAACTGGACCGGAGGGCCGGAACAAAAGCATGGATGGAGTGTTTGTGTGAACTAATATAAATTCAAAGTAAACATCATTACATAAAAGGGTACGGTCTTTTTTTTTTTTTTTTAGTTTTATTCATTTCAAACGGGCCGGATCCGGCCCGCGGGCCGTAGTTTGCCCACGGCTGGTCTAGGCCCAAATACTATAGAGTCTTACTTTACTTACTGAGTTTTAGTAGGTTTCCTTTGACAAATGCTTCTTCATTTGCTGTATGAGCTTAGATTTTAAATTAGTGGGTTTTTGTTTCTTTTTAACATAATTTTCACCGGTTTCACTGAGGGGTGGGTCCATGTAGCTCTTCACATTGTCATGCCAATTATCCCTTGTGGAATCATGATTGGCCCTAGTAGCATTTTGTATACTGTGGCACATAATGGAATGTCAGTTACTGACTATACATACACTGTCTTTTCTAGTTTATATTTTGAGCACTTCCTTTGTGACTTGATGTATCTGTGTCCTCCTTTTTTCCTACATTTTAGTGCTGGAGTGTTTCTAGAAAGATGGGGCCACTTTTTTATCTGCCATTGGCTACACACATAAGGAAAGACACTTGTCCTAATTGAAGTTTTAGTCAAAAGCATCATGTATTTTGACAAATAGGAGCTTTCTATAGCATTCCTTGCAGTACATGTGTAGATGTAATTTTAAATTTGGCCAGTTGTTTGGGGGATGGAGACAGAGATAAAGTGAGAAAGAGGGAGAAAAGGCAGGTAGAAGAGCAGTGTGGTTGTGCTCTTCAAGATGGGACATACTTCCCTTGTTCTTTCTTCAGCCAATCATGTCTCATGCCTTTCAACCTTGGCTCTTGACAGTTCTGCCTTTGCTACTGCCTTTTCCTTTTCTGCTCCTCCTGGCTTGTGAGGGCCCCATGCCTGCCCCCTCTGTTTGGGTGGACATTGGTCATGTGGCCACATCTGAAACTCCAGCCAATCCTATGCTGTTCATCCTCTGCTGCATGGACTTCCTCCTAAGGCTAATATCTGTCCTCACCCAGTCTTTGACACACACTGTATTAGAGAATTTGGTGGTATTCTTCTCTCATCACTCTAGATCAGTGGTTCTCAACCTTCCTAATGCCACGACCCTTTAATGCAGTTCCTCATGTTGTGGTGACCCCCAACCATAAAATTATTTTCATTGCTACTTCATCACTGTAATTTTGTTACTGTGTTGAATCGTAATGTAAATATCTGATATGCAGGATATATTTTCATTGTTACAAATTGAACATAATTAAAGCATAGTGATTAATCACAAAAACGATATGTAATTATATGTGTTTTCCAATGGTCTTAGGCGACCCTTGTGAAAGGGTTGTTCGACCCCCAAAGGGGTCGCGACCCACAGGTTGGCGACCCACAGGTTGAGAACCGCTGCTCTAGATCATTTGAGAATATTCTTGACAAAAATCATTTGATTTGTATGATTGGCCTGCTGCTGCTTCTTGGGATCTGGAGGAAAGTGTTGATTGTCTTTTGGGGTGTGTGTGTGTGTGTGTGTGTGTGTGTGTGTGTACTGTTTCATTCAGTGTTGTTCTCTTTCCCAGGATGCTACAAAATGAAGCGTCGTAGAACTTTCAGCACCAGTGACAGTTCAGATGGCAGTGAGTAGATCCAGCCAACGGCTGGTAACCCCTGTATCTATACTCCTAAAGGATTTCTTCTTTGACTTGAGGACCACCTGTTTCATCTTTCTTCAGTGGTTAAAAAATAACGTTTTTAGGAAAGAAAGCTTGGGGTACCATTTTTTTTCATTTAAATTTCATTAGAAATTGATAAGTTAGGTGGGAAAATTGGTTTTATATGGCATATAGCATTTGTTTTTCACTTTTCACTAACCTAAAGAAATGCCAAATCAAATAATGATTTAACAGTGCTTTTTTAGAAAGGAAGAAAAGTATAAGAGCGTAAATTATAGGCCCTACAATTCTAATTACAGCTCAGGCACTAAATGTTTGACTGGATGAGTCATCATTTGTAAAAGGCAACAACCTTATTAACAATAGCATTTGGGGAAGTGCTGAAGGATATATACATTACTTGTTCTACATTTTTAGTTTTACCAGTTGCTTTTGCAGATATTTTTTCTCCAGGTGGAACATGAATCATGTTATTCCAAAATGTTATAAGGTATGATTATACCAAATCAAATCTCCTCAGCATTAGCATTGTTGAAGCTTTTGCACACTGGGAGGTCACCTATAAATGTCATTAAACTCCATCATGGGCTTTTTTGGTTGTAATTTAACTTTCTTCAGTGTTATGTATGAGATTACTATGTTCTTCTCCATCATATCTTTTATATTCTCTTGGATGGCATTTAGTTATATTAGCAGGTAATAAGTCTCTGTATTTTTTCTAATTATCTTTTGCAGGTCCTTCTACTTCTTTTACTGGCTCAAGGTATAGGAACAAGTCAAAAATTCCAAATGAGCACAAGAAATCTGCTGAGGTGAGATCAGATATTCAATTTTTAGACTTAAAAAATAGCTGCCTTCTGTCTACATACCTACAATACCCAGGTCTTGGAGATGAAAGGAGTAAACTATGTGCCAATGGAAGGCTTGTTTCTGATGAGTTTTTGTTTTGTTTTTTAAGAAAGATTCAATTCTCTTTTATCCTTTGGGAAAACAGTAATCACACTGTGATTTCATTTTGGCAATTACACTTAAATGCCTGGCTTTAGAATATAAAGCTTCCCCTTAGCCAAGAAGTCAAAGGGAGCTAGACTTGGGGAATTGGGAAGGACCCAAAGATCTGGCCTATCATTGTAAAAAGCTAAGTTGGTAGATGGGAGGCAGTGCAGGAAGGGATAGATGAGGAAGTTGTGGATGGAGAAGGGAATGACTGACCAGGTTGGAGATCTGGGCTGTGGTGGGTCCTCACAGCCTTCAGAACACTGACAGCCCAAGAAGAATGTGTTACTCCTAGTGAGATCGGTCATGTTCTGCCCCAAGGGCAAAGTGCCAGAGCTGTACTTGGTAATGGTTTAGTGGGTCCTGTAGACTTTTTCTCTGTGATAATTAAATGAGAAATTGACCTGCATATCTTCACTTCTACTACGAATAGACTTCCTTGGCTGCAAAGGAAAAGAGGGTGTGTTAGTTAACTATTGCTGCATTATAAATTAGCACAAACTAGTGGCTCAAAGCAGTACATATGTATTATCTCAGTTTCTGTGGGTCAGGAGTCTGAGCACAGTGTGCCTAGGTTCTCTTTTCAAGGTCTTTCAAGGCTGTAGTCAGTGTGCTGGCTGGGCTGTGTTCTCATCTGGAGGTTTGACTAGGGAAGAATTTGCTTCCAAGCTCTCTCAGATTGTTTGGAGAATTAATCTCCTTGTAGCTGGAGGGCTGAGGTCTCTGGATTATTTTGCTAGCTTTTGGCAGAGGACTACCCTCCACTCCTGGAGGCTGCTTATAGTTCTTTGCCATTTGGCCTTCTCCATACATCCTCTCAAAACATGGCGGCTTACTTTTTCAAAGGGGAAAGTGTTTTTGGTCCAGTCTGCTAAGACTGAGTCTTACGTAACATAACATGATCATGGGAGTGATATCCCATCCCATTTGCTACATTCTATTGATTAGAAGCAAGTCACAGGTTCTACCTGCCCCCATTTGGGGGAGTGGGGAACATTGCTTTAGGGTGTAAGCCAGAGTGAGCATCTCTCTCTCCCTTTCTCAGAGGTCACTTTCCATTTTCATCTTTTGCCAGGGATCTTTCTAGGCTCAGTAGAATATCAGAGTGTGTTTATATGTGTCTGTGTCAGACAGAAAAACTTAGGAAAAAATGCACATAAACAGGAGCAGAATAAATTCCCTATCTCTCCAAAGGAGGCCTTGACTACAGAATGGCGACAAAGAAACCTTGCTACTTTCCTACTGAGGACAGCCAGTCCTAGAACATAGAATGGCTCAAGAGCTTTGGTTCTTAAGACCTGTTGCTTCTAGGTCAGTGAGAATAAGTCTTTTGTTGCAAGGCATAAGGGGAATTGAGCGCCTGGGAGCAAATTTTTTCATTTATATTTTACGTGCTGTTATAAAACAGAGAACCAGATATTATAGAACAATATAGAAACTTTACCACCATTTAGGTTCATTTACACCCCCTACCTTTATTATATAATTGTTTTAAATAGTTTCTGTACATACACAGAATTTTACATTCAACATTGTTGGAATATTTGCTTCGACCATCAAAAATTATTTATAAAACTCAAGAAGAGGATAGTCTATTATTTTATTCTTGATGTTCCAACTTTCCTTTTGTTCATTTACCTTCTGTTTGAAGAATTTCTTTTAGCCACTCTTTTAGGGTAAGTCTTCTAGTGATAAATTCTTTTAATTTTCTTTTATTTGAGAATGTCTAGGTTTCACCTATGTTTCTGAAGAATATTTTTACTGATATAGAATTCTGCTTCGAAACACTTTTCTTTCAGCATTTGAGAAGTCTGCTGTCATTCAAATAGTTGCTCCCTTACGGGTAATCAGTCATGTCCAGTTGCTTTCAAGATTTGTCTTTGTCTTTTGTTTTCCAAAGTTAGATTGTTGTGTTCTTGGGCATAGATTTGTTTTGGTTTATCCTGTTCGGTGTTTGATCAGCTTCTTAAGTCTAGGTTTATATCTTATGTAAAGTTTGCGAAATTTTCAGCCATTATTTCTTCAACTATTCTTGTCAGTTCCACCTTCTTTCTCCTTTCCTTGGGATTTCAATTTCATGAATGTTATCTCTTTTGTTATTTTCCCACAGGTCCCTCAGACTCTTCAGGGTTTTTTTCAGTGTATATTGTTTCTGTTGATCAGATTGCATAATTTTTCTTATTCCCTTATTCTTTGTTCTGTTAATTCCATTCTTCTATTGAGCCTATCCCCGGAGTTTGAGTTATTAAATTATTCCATTTCAAATTTTTCATGTGGTTAGTCTTTATATCCTCGATATCTTTGCTGAAACTTTCAATTTATTCATTTCACAAAAGTGTTTGTAATTTCTCACTGAAGCATTTTTATGATGGATGCTTTAACAATTCTTGTCAGATAATTCTAACATCTGTGTCATCTTGCTGTTAGTGTCTATTGTCTCTTCTCATTCCCAGTTCTTAGTTTGATGAGTGACTTTCCATTGTATCCTGGACTCTTTTGGAATTATGTTATCCGACACTAAGTCTTATTTAAACCTGTTTTATCAGGCCTCCATAATAACCAGGCCGGTGGGGGAAGAGGGGTGCTGACTCTTATCACCAGTTGCAGAATTCCTAGGCTGTTAGCCTAGTTCTGTTATCTCTCTGGGAAAGGGGGAGGGTTATTCATAACTTTCCTTACGCCCTGTTGCCTACCTGATAGCAGGGGTGGTGGTGGTGGTAAGGCAGGGGTCCTCAAACTTTTTAAACAGGGGGCCAGTTCACTGTCCCTCAGACCGTTGGAGGGCCGGACTATAGTTTTAAAAAAAACCTATGAACAAATTCCTATGCACACTGCACATATCTTATTTTGAAGTAAAAAAAACAAAACGGGAACAAATACAGTATTTGTATTTGCATGTGGCCCGCGGGCCGTAGTTTGAGGACCCCTGTGGTAAGGGTACCACATTACTGATGGGCTATAGTGACAGTCAGGCTCTCTACCCAGTCTCTGCTGATATCACATTGAGGAGGAGGGGCACCTTGTGATTACTGGGTGGGAGTGCACGTCAGGGCCTCTCAGGTAATGTCCATGGACACCCCAACAATCTCCTTTTTGAATAAAACATTTTAAACATCTTTTTAAAATATAATTCTCACACCATACAATTTATCCATTTAAAGTGTATAATTCAGTAGGTTTTAGTATATTCACAGAGTTACGTAACCATTGCCACAATCCAAGTTTATAACCTTTTCATCACCCCAGAAAGAAATCCTCTTACCTATTAGTAGTGATTCCCCAATGCCTACTCCCAGCCCCTGCCAGCCACTAATCTAATTTCTGTCTATGGATTTGCCTATTCTAGATATTTGATATAAATGGAAGCATAATATATAGCCTTTTGTGTCTGGCTTCTTTCATTCTGGATAACATTTTGGGGTTTCATCCATGTTTTAGCATGTATCAGCACTTCATCTTTTTATTACTGAATGATATTCCATTGTATAGATATATCACATTTTATTTATTCATTAGTTGATGAACAATTGGATTGTCTCCATTTTTAGACTGTTAAGAATAACACTGCCATGAACATTCATGTACAAATTTTTCTGTGGACATTATGTTTTCAGTTGTCATGAGTAACACCAGGTGTGGAATATGGTAATGGGCTATATGGTAAATTTATTTAACCATATGAGGGAATGCCAGATTTTTGCCCAAATAGGTTTCATCAGTTTACACTCCAGTCAGCAGTGTATGAGGGTACCAGAGACTTTGAATTCCTCTAGTGACCTTGGCTTTGAGCCTTCCCTTTGTGCTTGTCCTCAGAGAGATTACCTTTTGCAGCTCTCCTAGCTGTAAACCACTATTATCACTGGAGGCATTAGCATGGTGGTGTAGGGCATGGGGGAGGGATGGTGTTCTTTGGTCTTTGGATGGCACAGTGGTCCTGAGTCTGGGGGTGGGATGGGGGAGGTGGACTTAAGGGGTAGGGCTTTTTGGATCCCATCCCATTTCCCCCTGTCTACCTGCAGCAGGTATCCTCTGGTGTTCTCAGTCTATGTCCTTGAGGTTCTTCCTCCTGTAAATGAAGGCTTGGCTTCTCCCTTAGATCACACAGGGAGGCTGAGTCTGGGTGCTTTTCCTTTCCCCCCAGCACTGATGAAATGATACCAGTGCCCTCACTTGATATCCTTCCCCTGAAGATGAAGCCTTTTGTTCAGTAAAGGAGCCAGGGGCCTCGACAACACCACTAGGGGAGCAGTTCTCCAGGTTTTCCCCCATCTTCCCTAGGAGAGCTAGGTTGGGTGTCTAAAGAAGCCTACAAGAGGGTGGAAACCTCCTATGGGTACAGCCCCAGGAATGTCCTACTCTCACAGTAGTCCCCATGTGGCCCCAGCAATTCATCACAATTTCTAGTTTAATGTTCCTACTGTGGCTTCTGCCCTAGGTAAACAAATGCTCCTACCCTTTGTCACCCTGTAGACATGCCTGTCTCTGAGTTGGCCATTTGTCCTATGACTCCTCTCTCTAATGGGTTCACCAAAAAAAATTAATTTGATGCCTTCCCTGCCTTCTTTTTCCTATAAGGATGGGTTTCTTCTTTCTGACCCTCTACAGGTCCAAGATGAAACTTTGTCTATTTACTGGGTGTTAGTGATTGAAATGCAATATAAATGATTTTTTCTGGGCCATAATTGGCTGCATTAATAGATACATATTGTCTTTGATGTTTAGTGCTTTGGTGAGATTCCTGTACATGCCTTTCCCTGATTTCTCCTCTAGAGAAGAGTTTCCTAGGGGTGTGTGAATCCCATGTAGGGTTCAGGAG